GTGTACAACAGACTCAAACTCTGCAGAGAAGTAAGGTGGCTAGGCTCTACCATAACAAACCTGGGTTTCAAGGCCTACAATATATATAATCAAATACATCTGCATAAAGTTTTCGAGCTCCATGTCTTCTATGGAATTTCAAAAGAGAGTATGCTCCAAGAGAGAGGATATCTTCTTTTGGAGCCCCATTTATATGGATAAGCATATACATTTGACTCTTTTATAAATTAATGTTGTTGTACAACTTGATCTATATACAAACTACAATTTGCAAACACTTGTATTTGTATATAATAGTCATAGCTACATTCAACTTTCACTCCTGCCGGAATATAAATGAACATATATAAGAAGCATATAAAGTGCATGAACAATTGTGTAATAACCTAATGCTTCTAATGCAATCATTAAAGAACCTAAGTACACCAGCATAAATTAAAATACATGACATCCAAATTGTATAAAAATATAAACAAATACAAGGTACTCTCCAAGCATAACACTCGACAAGAAAACCACACCAATGGCCTAACCTAGGCAATAGTCGTTTGTGTTAGCAAACCATATAAGTGTGTGAAGTAGGCAATTTGATTTTGGTATGTCCTATGGGAGTTTAATGTTTAAGTTGTATGTATTTATAAGGTTTGTTCATTAAGGCCAAGAAGAGATTTTAGTTAAAGTTAAATTTGAATTTTATTATTTGATTTTTTAAGGGTTGTTTATTTAATTATAAAGAATTTGTAAATTAATAAACTCAAAGTGCAAGGGCAACTAATCTACATATCCAAAGGCTTATAAATGAAATTGATGCAATCTAAAAAATATTAGAATTGCAAACTAAAGATTTCCTTTCTATAAAACATAGACAAACACAGATAGAACAAAACAATACTATTATATCACACAAAACTTAAACAAACACAACCTTAGAACACAACCACACCTTACAACTTCAAATAAAAAAGGACAAAATACAACTTACAACTTATCAAAGTTTTGAGAAGAAATATACATGGAGAATGAGAACCGTGGACAGAAGAATAGATAGAAGATCGAGACGAAATATAAGGAAGGTAGAAGAGGATAGCTCGCAAGCTATGGCAAACTCATAGGTTCACATTCCAAAAACCTATCACATCTCACTCTCTCCAAGACTCTCTTTCACAAAAGAATTTAGTCCCAATTTATAGGAGAACAAATGGGGAGTAGCATTCAATAAAATCGAAGTTGTTTTTAGGTTGCATCAATTGGTTGATGGATTGCAACATTTGAATGATTTATGTCAAAAAGCATAGCCAATTAACACAACATGCGAAATTGGGAACAAGTTTGTTGGCAGCATGAAATTGCATTCATGGATTATATTTGCAACCAACAACTTGGAGATGGGAGTATTGCGACATTTGTTAAAGAGGAGCTAATATGGAGAGTGTAATGTATTTTGGATGGTACTAAATTTACAAGATAAAAAATTGTGAGTAAACCGTCTGCAAAAAGATGATGCGATTGATGAGTTCAATAAGTATAGTTCTAAACTTTTAATTGTTTCAACAAGATGTCTATGCTTGTGTTCTCTGGTGGCTTACTTATAGAATAAAGTTCTTAGAAAATAAGTCAAAATAGTTCATTACAAGACATCCCCCTCAACTTTAGTGAGTTTGGTGCTTGAGAAGGACCAATCGGAGACAAAAAATACATCTTTTCCATCCATGAACATATCAAAAATTGATGGAATGAATTTTCAGTTGTGGTGTATGAGGGCAATATAATTGATGTATAATTCCACAGAGAGAATGATTTGTAGAGTTGTATTAATGTAATTTCCACCATCATAAAATTGCAAAATTTTGAGATATTTGTATTTGGCATTTAGCCAAACTTTTGAAGAAAAACTTCTTTTGAATAGTTTCAAATTTGTTTCTAATAGGAAACACCCAATCATATTTAAGAAAGTCATCATTAAAGGAAATATAGTAGCGACAACCTTGAATCAAAACGACTGATAAATGCCCCTATACATCAAAATGAAAAAACTTCAAGAGGTCTATAAATAATAGTATTTGATTTAGAAAAAGGTGGTCTATGACTAATTGTAAATTTTGGTTCAGCCGAGTGAATGCTTTGACCAATATTGCAGATAGGTATATTGAAGCCTAGGCGTTGCTGCGGAATACTTTATTAGTTCTCATATAGGAGACGTACAGTTAAAATTGAGTTACTTAGATGGGCCAGCCATAGAACCATTGAAATAACCATCAAAATCATTCGCCACGAAGAGTTTGCGGATTTGAAATCCCCCCCTCCCCAACTAGGATATTTGTTGGCAATAAGTTGAATGTGAACAATATTTTTAATGTTAAACATTAGAAAATTGGGCTTGAATAGGATAGGGATTTGACCCATTTTAAAAATGAAGTGTCAACCACGGAAGGAGCTGCGCGTCTGCGCGTGCGACCGTAGAAGGCAGACCTGCGGATCGGGGAAGCCTCGTGAGCTTGTTCCTAGTGGCACAAGGTGAGCTGGAGCTCGACTTGAGTTCTAGCTCAGGTTTTGGCTCGTGAGACAAGCTCGAATTAGACCTGACTCAAGCTCGACTAGCATCAATTGCACCCCTACTAGTGAATGGTTTGGATGAACTGATGAAATACATGCGTTTGTTCTTGATTGCTAGCAAAATCATTTACCAGAGAAGGTGCCGCCAATGCTAGGAAATCATTTGCATAAAAGAGCTGGTCGCCACATCGTTATCAATTACAAGGCCAATTGATGGGGTTTCTCACGTAAAAGAAAAGAAAAATACTGTAGAACAATGAAAGGTGAGAGGTGTTAGCATCAGTCGATGAATGAGGTAGACTTCAGAGTCAGTGAATGATGGATGAGGACGAATGGTGGATGCTGACATCATTTGGTAGTGGCGATTGAGGTCAACTGCTGGAGTGACATATCAAATAGTATTGTGCTGTCCTATTTATTCCTGGCATTTTCATTTGTTTGCAAATTTAAGCCCCTAAAACAATAATAACCGAACTGCCAGAGCTTTCAAGGATGAAGAAGCTATAAGAGAAGAAGAGCTTTGCATTATGCAATTTGGTAGGAAGAGAGATGAAGAACTTTTGCTATTTTCTAATTGTAGAAATTAAATTTTATGCAGTGTTTCTCAAATTTGACTTAATTGACCCAAATATTCTAAAAAAACCTCTCTACAAAATTCTCCACCATTAGTCGAATTGCTGCTTATGTGGAGATTGGAACACCAGTTATCTTATCAATTTAATTTATATTTCATTAATTGATGGTGGGTAACCGTTTGTATCTAGGCATGTGACTTCATGAATTGTATGTCTATTATACTTCAGAGAATCGTTAAAAATTGATTATTAAGCAGAAATCGCCAGCCATAATTGTGAGGCACGCATAATTGGGAAACTGGATAAAAAAATTTTGCATAAATTTCTTGGGAATGCGACCACAGAAGCACATTATCTTAGGTAACAAGGGTAAGCCTGGGGTTTGTTCAACAAAGCTCGATGAGTAATAAGCTTGCCTATATATAAACAACAATTGAATTGAGACTGAACAAACAGTGAACTTAGCAACATCTCTTAGTCAACTATGCAGTGATATGGTGCTAGGGTTTGGAGCACCACAGTACTCTCTCTACCTTACAGCATAAACCTGGATCCTGGAGCACTATAGTGCTCGAGCATACAGTGTTCTGACACTTGTACCCAAAAAATAAATAAATTCAGGCAGGAGGAGCATTGCCTCCCGACGAGCTCAATTGACAGTATTTAGGAGACAATAGTGCAATCTAATTTATCGACACAATCAGATTCCACACAAAACTAACATATTTGTATGGACACATTTTCAAGGATAATTGCTTTTGTCAAATACATGAAAACAAGTACTTTCTAGTTCTCAGAAAATAGTTAAGTACTACCATCACTAACTTAGTAGCTTTCTCCCTTATTTGTTTTCAACAGGAATGTGCTCAGTTGAGTTCTTAAAAGGGGAGCTATGTATGCCTTGAACAAGAACAAAAATACACTTCATCATACAGTGCAAGTCATAATGTTTTCTCGTTATCACTATCTTATTCTGAACAAATACAATGCTTCTTCAACAAAATTTGGATGCAAAACGCTGCGTGATATAACCAAATTAAACAACCAAGAGGTGTTCAAGCCAATTCACAAGGATGTTACACTAATTTTCTCTAAGATTATGTCATAAAAATGACCCAAAAAGAGCCACTACACAATACTGTATACTCCAACAAGTCATTGGTGACCAAAAGATAACCAATATGATGAATTTGATTCGTTAGTATTCATTTAAAAAATTAAATTTAAAATGCTGCTTCAATTCATATTTTAAAAGCGATGGATGTTCTTGGTTGGTATTGATAAAGAAAGAATTAATCCTAATTTGATTTCTTTATTTTCTGAGGTTTTGTCATTACATTTTTTATCATTGTCAAGAAACACTAATTGCTTTTCTAACCTAACCAAGTATGATCTATGGATCGAGAATTCTTAGAGCAAAATTAGCTATATTGTTTTTTAAATCACTGTAAATGTACAATGGATAAATTATAACATTTGCATCTGGCTAAAAGGACATGTTTCCATAAATTATATTTCATTCAAGATGTAGTTCTCAGAAGTAATTCCTTTCACTGTCTCACTTCTTAATCACCCCTCCTCACAAAGCTAAACAAATTTTTAACCAGACTATTTCAACTATTTGGCCTTGCAACTTAAGCTGGCAGAAGTTGATTTAGCTCGACCAAAGACCTGAGTTACCATTATTTGGGTCAATCGAATAGCAGCAGTGTTCATTGAAGTTGGATAAGATTTGTTTTCTGCTCACTGTAAGGAAAAAGGTATAAAAATATTTTTACAAACAAAATCAATCCATTTCTTCTCACCAACTATCAAGCTGCTGAAGGAAATATTTTCTGGAAAGAAAAGATGATCAGATAAGCCGTCCACACGACTGATGAAGGTAATTCTTTTTTATTTCCATTGAAAGAAGGGTAAGCATTTTAATATAACATGTAACATTGCAAATATCATTATCAGCATCCCCTGTGAACCCTAAAAAACTGTTTTTCTTTCTTTTTCCCAGCCGATTCCTTTGTAAGAACCCCAAAAAGAAGAAAAACTGGCATTTTTTCGTCCAAAAAAAAGAAGTGGAGATACAAATCAGGAGAAATGATAAAAAGGGGGAAAATTTTGTCCTAACCTTCCGCCTCCTCATCCCTCTCCTGCTCAATTCTTACTGGTCCTCCCCTTCTCTGCTCTATCGCCGACGTTGCCGTAGCCCCCACCCTCCCTTTTGCTGGCTCCACATATGCCGCCGCTGACATCTCCATTTGCGCTATCCTAACAGCACCAATCAACTTTTCAGGTAGCTCGTCCTCCGCCTGTGCCTCTATCACAAATCCCATGTCAATAGTCACCGCCGTCACAAACCCAAGCGCCAACTTCAGTATCGCACTGGCAATAGCTGAACTCCCAATATCCACATCAATTTCCAGATAGTTCTCCCCCTTATGGTAATTACAGACCAGAGCCTTCCCCAAAAGACAAGCCGAGTAGTTTCCCACTGCCGCTTTAACGATCCAAGGCCCCTTAACTATGCGATTCACAATCTTGAATCGGGAGTTGCGGAAGGCGTCGTCACCGTGGATGAAACGGTGGAGCAGTGATCCGGTAGGTATCGGATCGTCTGTGGCAAAGTAGAAGACGGCGGAGTGGCAATCGTGGCCGGGAACCTGCAGATTGACGGCAAAGACGAAGGATTTGAGGAATTTTCCAAGAGACTGAGCGCGGCGAAGGGCAGCGGAAACACGGTTGTCAGGTCGGCCCAGGACGTTGTCAAGGCGATGAGGGGATCGGAGCCAGTCAACGCCAGCGGGGAGGAGGAGCCAGTTGCCGGATGGAATCTTCTTGCGTCGGGAGAAGTAGTCGAGACCACGAAGGGAGAAGAGGTCTCCGGGAGGGGAGGCCCAGCCGTTGGATCCGTCGTGGAGGTCCACCCGGCGGAGGGATCCTCCGTCGATGACCTCCTGCCGCCAGTCGTAGGAGGACTCGCCGTCGGAATCCGACGGGGACTTCAACGAGGGCTTGTGTTTCGTCGGGCACATTGCTGCCGCCGTAAGTCTTACAGGCGAAGGAAAGGGGATTTTGCTATCTCTGAGCAGCAGCTGAGACCGGATAGAGCTGCGGTGTAAGACTTTAGGAGCAATCGCCGCTTTTCTTATTTGACCCTCTAAATTGCTTAAAAACCTACTAAATCAGCGTAATTACACAAAAACAAAAAATGTTTACAAAGAGGTCCGTATGTAATACAAAATTATGTCATTATTGTTTAAACCTAAATTTTTTTAACTTTGGAAATTTTAGAATAGTTTCCTTATTAATTGTTCTCCAAATGCATTTCCATATAGCATATTTTTGCCTCCCTATGACTCTCTGCAATGCACAAGTGTACAATACTCTGATGCTGTAATATATATACAATGCTGTAATATTGTACATCTATATTGAAAAAAAAAAATTAGGGATAAGACCTCAGAATCTCAAATTAGGGAAGACTTTCTGACGAGCTCTACGGATAGAATTGAGGCATTAGTCAACAATATACATTAATTGATCGATACAACCTAATTTCATAGAGAAATAACAACAATTAAATAAAATCAAATCAAAGAAGGAATGCAAGGGAGAGCGAGAGGGAGAAAGATAATCGGAAGGAGATTGCGTTGTTCGAAGGAAGGACTAAAAAAGGGAGCGTGGACTGCTATTGAAGACAATCTCTCGGTCACTTACGTCAATGCTCTAAGGCAAATGGACGACGATACCGTCCCCATGCAGCTCGTGAGATCTTGCAAGATAAATATTGAAAAAAAAAAAATCTAAGACGGCATGTTGCTCTGCTTATAATTATAGATTATAATGAAATGGTAGAACGATATCAAATACATGATTATCTATTTAGTATTAAAAATTTTTGAACTAAAAATTTTTAAATTAAAAAATTATTTAAAAAAATAAAATCATATCCCAAATAAAACCTTAAAACTACACTTTATACCAAAATTACCACTCCCTTGCAGCACAAGCTTCAAAGAATATCCTGATTACAACACAATAATAAGTCAATAACGCATTAGCATCACAGAGGCTTATGTGTTTAAAGGGGAAAATTATTAGGTGCGGAGTGCGCACCGTTCGTATAAATACTGAGTACATAGCGGTACCCAGCGGTACCGAGTTCAAGTACCTAGCACCGAACAATACTTGTGCAGACGGGTCCCGTTCGCACTCCGCACCTAATAATCTCTCGTTTAAAGGTACACGGAAACCCACCACGGGTTGTCTTGGTGGTGAAGAGCTGGCTGGCCATAGGCCAGGTCCCGAGTTCGAATCCCATGGCAATTCATGCAAAGCCTTAAGTGTTGGCCCGGATGAGTATGGGGTGGGTTGTCCGCTAGGTCGATCGGAGAGATTAGTGGCCGAAGGCTGATACTCCCGGTCCCAAAAAAAAATAAAATAAAATAAAAGGTACGCGGAAAAGAAAACAACTTATTATAAGAATACAAACCGTTAAAATCTAGGTGGAATAGAGCTGGCATTATGCCATAGTCCAGCCAGCTTTCTTGCTTTCATAAAGAGACATATTATTAATTACTTTAATAAACTGTTTAATATCTGGCAAAGTATAATCTCTATGCTTGATTGTTGTTCATACCAATCTTTAATAATTTATAATAACAAAAAATTATTGGAGCTTGAGAAATTATATTAAATTGCCAAATTCAAAATTGTGCCATATTTTAATATTCATATTAGGTTAGGGAATCAAATGAAATCGGTCTTCGAATGATTGCTGCTTATTTTAAATGTTAAAAGTATAGAAATGGGAATCAAGTGAAATGGTATGGGTCCCGTTTCATATATTTATGGTTGATTTCGGGTCTGAAATTTCGACTCGTTTATTAAATGAGTATAATTTGGATGGGTCGGGAAATGGGATTTTGGTCTAAAAGTGACTTGTTTAAAATTTTTCGCTGAATTATTTTGAATAATGGTATAATCTTCTAGTTTTTAAATAATTAACCTAAACTTTATATATAACAAATTTAAAAAAAAAAAATCAAAATAGGTTATCAAGTCAGGTTCAACTTATCTAGGTTAGCAGAGGTTCAGATTTGGGTCAACATTTTTTACCCGTTCATTAAATTTGTTAGTTAGAATATCTTAGTTATAATAAAGCTTAGGTCTAGCGTACCTTTAATTTTTTAAATATATATATTTTTTTGTTTTATAAATAGCTAAGATTAGACGTAACGAGAGATAAATAATATTATATCTTTTGGAGCCTTAAGCTTGTGTTTGTTCCCCGATTTTTATGTGTTCCTTCTAGCAAATCATTTCTTTCATCGATCCAATATATCAATTGGTATCAAAGCCTGAAGCTCATGAATAATGGTGGACTACATAAGAAAATGAGTTGTTGTTTACGACGATCAAAGCTGAAGAAGATGGGTTATTGATGATGATCGACCCCGAAGAATATGGGTTCTCAAAGACGATGGAAACCATGATACCTTCTGGGGAGCTCAAGTGAATGCATTACTAGATCGATTAAATGATTTATGTTTTAATTTCATTCGTTCTGTAAAGAGAATACGCACTTAAGCAACCGTATCGGCGCTTTTGCTCTTCTGGTCCTCCAGCTTGCCCGTGATATTGGACCCACTCCAACGCAATTCCTCCCCGACCCCCACTCCGTTCCCGCGATCCCATGCCTGACCTCACGCTCATACCCGATCTACGCCTGCATTCTGCCACTATTAAGGAAGAAGCTAAGGAAGAGAAGAAAGATTCACCATATTAACAATCTATGCGGTCCGTGAGCCCACATATGTTGCCCGTGCCCAACATCGAGTTCACACAACACATAAAGGCAGTATCACTCGATGCTACTAAGGTCAGAAGCAGCCATTATCGTTGTTTTGTGAGCATAGTTCTAGTTTGTGCAGACACATTATATCTGAATGTTCAAAAAAGCATTCATTGCATTGTCTTGAAATCTAACATCAACTTTGATGGCTATATCAAAGATGTAATTGTCACCTGGAATGTGCTCATAAATGGTTATACTAATGATGGGGATATTCACAATGCTGTAAATATAATGTCATAGAATCTAATTTGAAAGAAGTATTCTTTTATCTTTTAATTTACACAATCAAAGCTATTGAATTTCTTTTATCAATATATATAAATATAAAAAAATAAAATTGTCGATCAAAACTTTAATATATACATTTATATTTCTTTCCAAAAAAATGTGTACACTACTCAGGATTTATACAATCATAATATATCTATCATGCACTGAGTATAAAAGAATAGCTACTGATATAAAGAAATAAGCTAACACTAAATCTGAAAAAGCATGATTACTCATAACATCTGCTCTGATATGAAATCATTTAAACTACATATAATGAGCTAAACAGTCGAACATATAACTAAAATTAAAACATGGTAAAGAAGTAATATACATGTTAGCGATCAAATCATAGTAATAGCATTCATATGATCATTAATTCAGTGCATAAATAATAAAACTTACATGCAATAGCTATAAATTCTATAAAATGTTAAAATAGCACATCACGGAAATCAATAAATAATATAATAGAGAAATCAGTAAATCAATATCAAATGATCTTGATAACTTATATTTAGATTAAAACAAATTGTTTAAAATGTAAAATTTTTTAAAATGTATATGATAGCAAACTTACAATCTTAAGTAAAATTCTATCCATTTTATAAAATATTTTATGACTTTTAAATTACTATTTCTCTAAATTACAATTTCACTGTGAAAAAATTATAGAGACATTGCGTTCATGTAATCTCATGTAAAATCAATCTGAATATTTTCTTGTTAATGAGTATTTTTAATGTTGTTCCACAACAGAAAAGCTTTGAAACTCTAATCTTTCTTTTGTCTGTATAATTAGAACCAATACATCTAATTATAAATTGCTGTTATTTGGTTGTTTTGAGGTTTTGGTAATTTGCTTCACGGTCTTCTTAAAGAAATAAGAAAATCGTTCCAAACGAGAACTTTTATTTGGTCCGGTGAACGTACGTAGAGCTACGTTCGGCCGGCACTAAGATCGCGGGCACAAAACGAGAAATACCGAGCAATACCAATAATAACGAGAAATATCATTATGTGAAGACAAAATACCGAGTAATACCGAGCAATACCGAGTAATACCAAAAAATACTGAGTTTTTCTAGAAAAAACTCGGTATTTTTTGGTAATACTCGGTATTGCTCGGTATTACTCGGTATTGGTCTTCCCAGAGTGGTATTCCTCGTTATTATCAAACCAAATACCGAGCAAAAATCGAGTAACAATCCTTTGACCGAACGTAGATCTACGTCCGGTCAGAGAACATAATAAAAGTTCCCCAAACGAAGTCATAGCCGAAGCATGTATATGTTCCTTCAGTTTGAGAAAGTTTAAAATTAGAAACAGAGTATTGCAAACAGTGAAAACTATATGAACTTAAAAAGTCATAGT